AAAAAATAAAAGAAACATTAAAAACAATTTTTATCATTCTTAAAATTAAATTTCATTAAACATAAAGGTCAAATAAATAACAGATTTTTAAATGCACTTCTATTATGTGTTATCTCCTTACGTAAATTATGAATGCAAAGTTAACCAATACGTGATCTCTACCTTTCTATTCATTGAGTAAATATAAACGTTAGAATAAATTTAATATTTAAATAGAATTGAGTAACTTATATATGTAAGTAACAGTAAAATAGTTTCCAAGGGTAAACATCTATATTTGGTCGTTAGGTTTTATTTTTGTCCTCTGCTAGGAATGGAACCCATGGCTTGCTAGCAAAGTGCTACTTCTCCAGCCTGTCGTTAGTGCATTAAACATTTTTAATTGCAGCACAGCTAGATGGCTTTTATTCATAATTTTTCCCCTAAATGATTCTGTGTTTTGCCTCTTATCAGACCGCATTCCCTCTCTAATGTCACTATCTTATATCACTGAGAAAACAGTACAGCCATGAAATTCAGCCCCCAATTTCCTGTCTTCCTGCCTGTAGATATTCATAGCTGACAAGCGTACTTCTGCAGAGTTGTCATGGATACATCTTAAATGCTCCCTTTTTAACACTATTTTGTACTTTTTGTACTATATTTCATTTGCTCTTACCTGTGTGAGGACATTTCCTCATCAGTGCTGTTTTTTTTTGTCCCTAAGTCTGACTCTACTGGATGGTTGCCATCAGTGCTAATTTCTCTCAATTTAAGAAAAACAAAAATACATTTTTCTGAGCCCACCTACTATTAGATTTTTTTTTCTACAGGCAAAGTCCTCAGAAATGATTGTTTCAAAAGACTTTTTAATATATTCAGTGTCTCCAATGCATTTTCATCCTTTTTTTTTGTTGTTGTTGTATTTTAGGGAAGGGTCTACAGGGTGTTTGGGGTCTCACTAATAGATTGGACTCATATGATCTGCCTGTTTATACCCTCCCAAGAGCTGGGATTACAGGCACATGCCACCATGCCCCATCTCAATTGCCATCTCGGCACACTCCAGGGGCGGGGCTGGCACCACAGGCCCGGGTATTGGATCTCCAGCCCTGGTGCCTGCTTGCAGGTGCTTTAATCAGCTGAGCTATTTGGCCAGCCCTTTCATCCCTTTTTTCTTTACCCACTACAATGTTTAGTTTTCAACACATCATAAAACTTGGCAAGATTTCTAGTGACTTCAGTAATGCCAAATTCAGTGGAATTACCAGTCTTCACTTTACTTGATAATATATAACAGATGTTCTCTCTTGATCCATTTTCTTTCATTTGACTTTGTTTAACTAAGTTAACCATCTTAGTTTGTCTTCCTATCTCAGAATTCTCATATTCATTGGTTGGTTTCTTTTCAGCCCCTCAATTTCTCATATTGGGTACTCTAAGGTTCTTAAACATAGAATCTTGTCCATTTCATTTTTTATTAGCATAATTGACCCTAATTTATTCAGATACATCTATCTTCAGCCAAACCTATCTGAGCTATTACATCGGGGATATATAACTGCCTACACAAATCTGTTCAGGTATTTAGGTGATAACTTACACTTTGTATATATTAATACCACACTCCTTTTTTCCTTCTCCTACCAAACCCTCTTCCTCCTAGAATTACACCTGAGCAACCCCTTCAGGTTTTTCAAAGGAAGACTTTGGAGCCATCTTTGAGTCCCCTTGTCATTTCCCACCCCACATCTATGCCATGTAGAAGTTCTGTGCTGGCACTGTCCTCAAAGTACACACAGGATCTGACTATACTTAAGTCTAGCTGGACCCATCACCACTTCCCAACTGTCCTACTGCACTGCCTCCCAACAGGCTGGCCTGCTTATAGCTTTGGCTCCCCTTTCTGTCCTCACATTTAGATCCATAGTGTACTCTTAACAAAGTGTCAAATCAGGTCATACTGATAATATTAAACCCTTTCAGCATTTCCTCAGCTAATCTGAGTAAAACTCAGATTATTTATAAACAGACCTACAAAGCCTTACATGCATGGGCAGCCCACTGACTGACTTCATCTTTGGTTCTTAATATGTTCCTACCATGCCAGTCTCCCCACTTGTCTTCATGCACTACAGATACGCTGTTGTTTTAGAGTGTTTGCTAAAGCTGGTCACTTACCTAAAATGTTCTGATGTCCTAATCTGCTGTATAATTCCCTCATACCCTTCAAGGTGGATAAAATTTCACCTTTTTATCGAGGTCTTGTTGACCATTTAATGCTATAGCCCCTGCCATTTTACATATCCCGAAACTCTAGGTTCTCTGTACCACCCTTTTACTTTTTCTTTCAAAAGAATTTTCAAGGCCTGGTGAGAGAATTCAACAGACTAAGCACCTGCTTAGGCAAGCTCAGGGACCGAGGTTCAATCCCTGACACCACATTCCGTGCCAGATCCGCCCCTAGGCGTGCTGAGCAGGCCACTGAGACTGGATGTAGTGGTACACACCTATAATCTAGCATTGGGAAAGCTGAAAACAGGAGGATTACTATGAGTCAGAGCTACGTAGTGAGACCCTGCAAAAAATACATTAAAAAAAAAAAAAGAATTTTCAACTCCTGTACATTAGAATTGACTAAATGTTGACTATTTACTGTCTCATTCCACAGCTCAAATGAACATTGGTAAAAATGTTTTCTTCTATACAAGTACTAACCAGGCCCGACCCTGCTTAGCTTCCAACATCAAATGAGATTGGGCACATTCAGGGTGGTGTGGCCATAGAGTAAAAATGTTTTCTATTAGACTGAGCGTGGTGGTAAATGCCTATAATCCCACCCTTTGGGAGGCTGAAAACAGGAGGATCACTGCAAGTCCGATCCATGTAGTGAGACCTTGTAGACCCTGTACTAAATACATTAAATAAATAAATAAATAAATAAATATATAAATAAGTTCTCTGCTGTTTCTCTTAATACCTAGAATAGTATCTGAATAAAAATTGCATAAATATTAGTTGAATAAATTCATGTTTTTAAACTTTAAATGCTGGCTATTTTAAACTTATTGAACATTCTAATTTACATAATCATGTAAAATGCAATTATACATTAACACTATGATTTTTGCTTTCATATACAAGTTCTGATGTAGTTTGGGAGACAAAGCACAAGAAGAAGGCAAGATGGAAGCCAATGAGTGTGAAGCACACTGACAAGTTGGAGAAAGAATTTAAGGACTATACTGAATCTTCACCTGTAGAAGATAAAATTATTGAATTGGACACCAACGTTGTGGTAAATTTTTAAAGTACTGATGTGAAAGTTTAATTTTGATTTGTTATATTTCAAATCACTAGTAAAGTTTAGGGAAAATCAGACTTCCTTACAAAACAAATTGAACATGGTTAATTTTTTTTTTTTTTTTTTTTTTTTTTTTTTTTTTGTCTTTTTGAGACAGGATTTCACTATGTAGTTCAAGGTGGTCTTGAGCTCACTTTGTAGTTCAAGTTATCCTCGAGCTCACAGCATCCTCCTTCAGCCTCCCAAGTACTAGGATTATAGGCATTATAGTGTGACCATGTTTAATTTTAACCTATATACTTAATGTCTAATATCCCTTTGTAGAAGTGGTCATATATGTATTGAGAAATCAGATTTTGTCTTAAATTGTACTAGATGTTGATTATTTTTCTAGTTAATGAGAAATGGAAAGTATGTTTTATGTTTATTTTAAAAATTAGCTTTTTCTATTAGCTTTCTTTCTCTCTTTCCCTGTTTCATATTGTCCATCCTAGGAAGCAAGCCCAGGATCTTATACATACTAAGCAGGTGCTATAAGACTAAATTATATTACCAGCACTTTCTTTATTTTTTATTGTAGTAAATTTTAATAAGTATAAAAGGTGACACAACCTTTCAGGATAATGTGAATATCTTATAGATTCAGAATATAAAGATAGGATTTGAATCTAACTAAAATGAGATATTTACTGTTTTAATTAGTTTTATTTTAAACATCTTTTGGTACAAATTTCTAACTAATCAGTTATGGAAAAGAGACATCCCATGTTGGTTTTTTTTCTTGGGGGGTGTATATTTTTCAGGTTCGCTTAACACCTAGTGGTAACAGCATGAAAATCCTGCAACCACATGTAATAGCTCTCCGAAGAAATTATCTTCCAGCATTAAAAGTTGAATATAGCACATCTGCACATCAGTCATCATTTCGAATTCAGATTTACAGAATACAGGTATGCCTTTCTGAAAAGTATAACCAAAACACAATGAAGAGCCAGATAATAGTCCCAGGATCTGTTTCTTTCTAATATAAAGCCTAAAGAGGAAGGCACAGTGGAAACCAGAGGGTAAAGAACACTGAGAAGTCAGGGGATAAACATGAGGACCACACTGACTGTGTCCTTTGCCCTGCAGTTTCAGTGGTAGACTAGACTTCTGGTTCCCTGTGCTTCGTAAATCCTGTAGTTCTAGTCAAGTTGTGTAATTGATGTACTTTATACCAACCTGTTTTTTATTTTCTTAGATCCAAAACCAGATTCATGGTGCTATTTTTCCATTCGTGTTTTATCCTATTAGACCTCCAAAGTCTGTTACCATGGACTCAGGTTTGTTTTTTTATTTTCAGATTATTACAAAAACAGTTGTCTTCACTACTTGGTTTATTTTACTATAAAAGTATGAAATCATTCTCAGGTTTAGTTTCAGTAGGATCACTGGAAAACAAAGCTGCTTGAAAAAGATGAAGCAAATATCCAGCTAACATCAACAAATCTTTAAATAAATAATGAAAAAGCATTAAATGTAGGTAGGTAGACAGACAGACAGACAGACAGACAGAGATACATATATATAGCCAAGTGTGGTGGTGCACACCTGTAATCCCAGCACTTGGGAGGCTGAGGCAAGAGGATTGCCATGAGTTCAAGGCCAGCCTGGGCTACATAGTGAGTTCAAGGCCAGCCTAAACTACACAGTGAGATCCTGTCTCAGAGGAAAATAGTAATAATAAGAAGAAGAAGTATATAATATATTTACACTTGGAAATACATTTAAACATATTAATTTAGAAACCAGATTACTCATCTGTAAATCTGATGTGACTGTTCAGACCTTTAAATGCACAATGAGGAAGTTTGTTCAGGCTTTTCTGAACAAGGGAAACTGTCCTGTGTTCTCCAGGTGAGAATAGCTTGGCAACTGTTTTTCTCCTTAGCCTTTTCTCTTTCTTGTGTCTCTCCTTCCTTTCTCTTTCCTCCCTACAGCCCTACTGTACTTTGCCCCCCTTGGCCTCCTATCCCATAGCCTACACTGTGAACTCTATAATTTTGGAATAACTCTCCATAGCCTGCTTGGAAAATATGAATTAGTTTATAGATGTCAGCCCCTCTACCTGTGTGTCCTGGCCCTGGAAGCGGTTTCACACTTTCCCTGATGATTCTAATGCATGCCTCTAGCTTAAAATTACCAGCTTTCAGAAGTTACTTTGAAAGACAGATCCAGAGTCTGAAATTAGGATTGCAACCAAACTTGAAAAAGATCAGCAGCTTTAACTAACATGATTTAATAAATGATTTCATTTCTTTTTGTTTAATGTATATTGAATTGGAAGAATGTGCTTAACTTTGGCTTAAAACACCATAAGAATAATTATATATATAAACTTTATAGCACCAAAGCCCTTTACAGATGTCAGTATTGTCATGAGATCTGCAGGACATTCCCAGATATCACGTATTAAGTAAGTGTTTTCATTTATGTCTTACATATTCATTTAATGTTTTGGCTTAAATATATGAATTTTTATACTCTTTATAAATTTCAAATAAATCAAAGTTTTTACCATAAGGTATTAAATTATGAAAGCTAAAGAGAAATCTATAACGAAGTACACCTAGATGTTAAGAATAGATATTTCCAAATCTTGGGAATTATTTTATGCATTTGTTTTTGTGTTTAAAATGCCTGTAACAGCCATATATTGTTTTAGAAACAAGGATAAAAATATTATTTCTATATTTACTCCCTACTTATTTCAAGAAATGGAATGCAAACAGAAAAATGTCTGTATATGTATAATTCAATGTTTCATAGCTTTAATTTTTTTCTGATTTTCTAAAAATTGTTTCAAACTTTAAACAACCCCAGGAACTTGTTTCTTAATGAAAATTTATACTAGAAATGTATTTTTGTTCTATGTAGCTGTGATTATTCATTATCACTGAAATATAATGTTCTGCTATAGTATGAGAACCATAGTTTAGGCATTTTTCTCTGGCCATTTTTCTCTTGAGCTTGTTTGTTTATAAAAAATGTTTTCATGGTGTATTTTTATACATCTAGAAGTTCTAAGTTTCAAAGTTCTAATGTATATCAAATATTTTTTTCTCAACTAATTTTCTTAGTGCAGTTAATGAATTTTTATTATTTTCTACTTTGTAACAGGTATTTCAAAGTATTGATTCAAGAAATGGATCTCAGGTTAGATCTTGGATTTGTCTATGCTTTAGCAGACCTCATGTCAGAAAATGAAGTGACTGAGGAAACAGAGGTGAGATTTAAAATGGTAGCATTTGATCCCCCTTTGGCTCTAGCCTTCTAATCTCTTCCTCCCAATGAGACACATTCTTTCTCTTGGTCTCTTGACTGTCATTTTCCTCTCTTTAGGAGTCCCTAAATACTTTATGTAATGCTGATTAGTAGCCATCAATTTCTCAACTTTATACTTACCTTGGAATGCCTTTATTTTTTCTTTTGATTTAAAGAATAGCCTTGCAGAATGAAGTAATAATTAGTTGGCAGTTATTTTCTTTCAGGATTTTGAAATACAACACTACAAGCCCTACTGATCTTTTGAGTTTCTCAGAATTCTGTTATTTGGATAGTGTTGCCCTTATAAAAGATTTGACATTTTCTCCAACAGCATTTTTTTGTAATGGCAGCAAAAGAGTGCATCATCCATCGTTAGGGAAGGCCACCATGCAAAAGCAGACAGTGACCCTTAAGAGCATTTAATAATCCTTGTTTGTTATAAATTTTCAATAGTATAAAATTTTTAATTTTTTAACCATGTGGTTGTGGAGATGTTCTTTTCTGGTCGTGTCTGTTTGGGGTTCTAAATGCCTCTATTACCTGGATATCCACCTCATTCTCCAAGTTTGAGAAATGTTCCCCCATAAATTCAGTGAATAGGTTTTCTGTACAATTAACCTATACTTCCTCAGTCTCATTTAGGCTAATGAATCTTAAATTTGTTCTTTTAGAGCTGTTCAGGAATTTGTCAGGAATTTGTTTTCTTTTGTTTTTTAATCAATTGTGGGACAAAAGGAAAAATATACATTTATATGGTCTTTTCATTTGGTTTTAACATTTGGAGTCACTTGCTTTCAGCCTGAAATTTTTACACTGTAAGGCAGATATGCTAGGAACAAATTCTAAGATTTTATTTACCTGGAAATATCTTTATTTTATCTGTTTCAAGGTATATATGTATGTCAAAAAGTTTTTTAGCGCTTTGAATATATTATATATTTAAGGAAGTTTTTTGGCTTAATTAAGAGACAGGAAAGAGACAAAGCCTTTATTGTTAGGTGTAGAGTTTTTGCTAAAGAAAAGCAAGAACCCCCTGTGAGGGTGGAAACAAAGGGGTACTTATTAGGTCAGGCTGGGGGTGGAGTTTACATGAGCAATCAGGGTGACATAATGAGCACTGATTGGAGGAGGCTTGGCACACACACTTGAAAAAATTGAGGTTATCCAGGGGAAAGAAGGCAGTGACAGGCTGCTGTCTTTTTCCCGCCCGCCCCCCCCCATGCCATATTAGCTCACTGCCATGAAGAGTAGGCAGAGTTTTTCATAGGTGTGAACCCATCAATATATTAGCTTTTTTCCCTTTTTATTTCTGTGAGAAAGGTACACTGTAAGGCAGATATGCTAGGAACAAATTCTAAGATTTTATTTTAAGTCCATTAATCTCATTGTTCTTGAATATAATCAGTTGCTTTTCTCTTCCTGTGCTTTTTTCCTTTAATTTTTACAACTTTACTAACATAATTGTGACTCTATTTGCATTTATTGAACTTGGAGTTCTTTAGACTTCCTGAATATACACGCTATATTTTCAATAAATTTGAGTTTCAGTCAGTATTTTAAAACATTCTTCAAGTACTTTTTCTATTCATTTCTTTTTTTTCTTGGTCCTCTATGTTGTCTATTCTAATATATTTAAAGGTGTCACATGTTGCTCCAAGAATCTTCATTTTTCTTCACTTTTTTCTGTTTTTTTAATTGTATGATCCCCGTAAATGTATCCTGAAATTCTTGGACCATTTCTCAACATATAGAAGTAATTTAAGTCTGTGTTTGAAAAAAAAACAGTAACAATTATCATGGATGAAAATAAATACTAATTACTTCATGTGGTATTGTTTCTAGTACTGTATCCTTTTAAAAAATTATATTTCTAGCCTCTCTAGCCTGCACTAAGACAGGTAACAGGTAAAACATGGTTATGTGATTGTGTTTAAAGAAAAAAATATGACCCAAAGTTTATAAATCAGATGGATTAATGGCCTTGTCTTAGTTACTTTTATTTCCTTGCTGAGACAAAATACCTGACAGCCAGAATTAAAAAAGGAAAGCTTTATTTAGCTCACAGTTTGTAGAGGTTTCAATCCATCCTGGGCTTGCTCCAAGGCAGGGTGGCATGGTACAGGGGCAACATTTCAGAGCAGCAGAAGATAGTAAAAAGCAACAAGAGCTAAAGGAGGGACTAGCAAGCCTCTTTTCCTCTCATATCATAAGCAGACTACACACACACACACACACACACACACACACACACACACAAACACACAGGGGGCACAGGCAGGCAGGCATAGCACTCACACCTCCATGCCCTTCTCTTGCATAGGATGAGGATTTTACAAAGAAAGTGAGGACCCTGCCCCTTGCTGAATTGCTTAGTTCAACTTCTAAACTTTTCAAGCTGACACAGTGTATCAACCCAAACAGCCTACCCTTTGTCAATTTGGCAACCAGACACATATCTTTAAACTAGTTAGCTTCCAGATACAAAAACATTCTAATTCTTATCACTTTACAACTTGAAAATTATAATACAGATTTAACAATCGTTAAGAACCAGTATTAAGTCTGTCAACATTATGTTACATTAGAACCATAACACCTAGTCCATACTTAGCTGGCTCCAAGGCAGGGTGGCACAGTGCAGGGGGTACACTTCAGTGCAACTGAAGGCAGCAGGGCAACAAGAGCAAAAGGTGGAGAAAAGCTTCTTTTCTCCCTTATGTTATAAGCAGGCCACCCCACTCCCACCCCAGCAAGTATAGCACTCATATCATCTCCTTTGTCCTCCTTTTGCCCAGGAAGAGGATATTTACAAAGGAAGGACTCTGGCTCCCTGCCGAGCCTCCTAAACTCCTCAACTTCTCAAGCTGACACAGTGTACCAGCCAGTACAAGCCTTTTGAAATAAGAAGCAGAGTCACATAAAGAAAAAGTTTGGTGTCTTTTGCTGGTTTGAACAAACCATAAAATACATGATTACAAGTTTGTGATTGGCAGGCAGAACTTTCCTAATAATAAAGAAGTTAGCTTTTCTTCTGATGCAGTATCTTCCAAGCATGAACAGTGTTGAGGTTGGATATTATAGAGGAGTTTTTTTGTGAGGTGGGACCTATTGCCCTAAATATTTCATGAAATGATGTCTTTTCAGTTTTTAATAGTTAATGTTTTTTTTGTAGGCTGGACTCTTCCATAAAGATATTGAAGCTTTTGAAGAAGAGTATGAAACAGTTTCATTAGTAGACCAATCACAAGTTAGTCTCTATGAATATTTTCACATATCTCCTATCAAGGTAGGGGAAAAATAATTCACTTTTCTCTCTGATAATCTAGGAAATAGTAAAATAATTTGATCTCATTGGTGGGATGCAGCAATTCAGTTATGTTCTTAATAGAGTAGAAATCTTGGTAGCTTTAAAATTACAAATATAAATAAGTAATGAATGATACTTAAAAACTTTTAAAATATATTTTCACCATGTGGAAGTGAATAATCATACATAGCACGTATTTGTATATTTATATCTTTACCCAACATTATTATACTATTAAAGCTGTTTTGGTGACAAGTTTTAAAATGTTGTGTATCATGTATACTAGTTTTAATTTGTAAAGTATATTTGATTTAGGAATTAGACATTGAATAAAATTAAATCTCTTTAAAACACAATTTCAATAAATTACTGATGTACTACCTGAATAAAATTATTGTATAATCCAGTATATATGGGATAAGTATGCAGTATGGCACAAAAGTGTTTTTTAACAGCATACAAAATTTATGTTAACATTTCAAATGTACACTTCGGTGATGTTTTATTTTCAACAGCCCACCCTACTAGACTGCTGTTAGTATTAACAAATGTATAAAAATGAAAATAAAATTGAACTAAATGTCATGTTGCTCAATTTAAAATTTAACTCAAGCTATGTTGGATTTAAACTTGTTTTTGACTTTTTACTTAAAATTTTAACTTTTATCAGTTAGCTTTGAAATGTTTATATTATGAACTTAAAATGATACTTTTTAAGTTAAAATTTGTCAGTATGAAAAAAGTGCTTTAAAATATTTATCCCTTTCTCTTTAGTTGCATCTAAGTGTTTCACTGAGTTCAGGTGGAGAAGAAGCTAAAGATTCAGAACAACGTGGAGGCCTGATTCCATTTCATTCTTTGAATCTTTTGCTGAAGAGTATTGGTGCTACTCTTACAGATGTCCAAGATGTAGTTTTTAAGTATGTTTAATAGTCAAATCTATAAACTGATGAACAATCTGTTTATTCTAACTTAAAGTGTTTGTACATAAGAAATAACATAAAATATATTACAGATCATAGCAAAATTTGGCTTTTGCCTTTAAATGAAACGCAGCCGAAACAATAGCTTTTTTTTTTTTCCAAAGAACAGAATAATTATTAATTTCTTTAAGAAAAAAGGCTATATAATTTTATGCACTTTTAGGAAACCTGGCCTAGGGAATGTTCATAAGATGTCAGTGCCTAGAGACACAGTCCTTGAAAGATATGGATCTAAAGTTCATAAGATAAAACTTTTCAAAGATAGCATAACACAAATGTATTGATCGGGAAAACTGAAGAGATCATTCTAAACATCTTATTGTCAAGAATTTATATTTGAATGTGAGTCATAATAGAAACAAATGAGATACCTGGTCCAAGACTCAGTGTGAATGGAGAGTTTAGAAAAATTTGATCTTTTTTGATAGACTTTCTACCACGTTATTAAAAACAGTAGAGAACATCAGTAAGTATCATATGAGGAAATTGTGAACCTAGATAAAAGTTATTTAACAGCCAAAAGAATGTACTTTTTTTTTTTTTTTTTGGCGGAACCGGGGATTGAACTCAGATCCTTGTGCTTACCAAGGAAGCGCTTATCCAGTGAGCCATCTCCCCGGCCCCTAAGAATGTACATTTGATACCAATAGAATAGGATGAGATTTCTAATTTTATTGCTCTCATATTCAGCAATAAGAAGCATAGAACTTCCCAATTATTAGATACAGGTATATACTATAAATGGGTTTATAAAGGTAAGCTAATTTGATTTCTCAGCTGTCAGCCTATAGGTAGGATGTGCAACAACTGAAGTTTAGCTTTTTTTTTTTCTTTGTGTACATATATGTGTTTCTGGAGTTTAAACCCCAGGGCTTTGTAGTGTACTACATCTCCAATCATTTTTTTTTTTTGAGGAGGGGCTGGCAGGGGTGAGGGTAGGGTAGAGGGGTAGGGGTAGGGCAGGGCAGGGAGCATCTTGCTGATAAATTGCCCAGTCTAGACTTTTACCTGTTTGTCTCAGCCACCACAGTGCTTGAATTACAAGCATGAATCACTATGCTTGTTTTAACCTTGGCTATTCTTTTTTTCTTTTTTAATGTGTTTAGTACAGGCTCTCACTATGTAGACTGGATTCGTAGTGATTCTCCTTTGTTCAGCCTCCCAAGAGCTGGGATTACAGGCATGCCTTACCACACCCAGTTTCAATCCTCTTCTCAGTGTGCCCCTGGGGTGGGTCCGGCACAACATGCCATGGATCAAACCCCCGCTACTATGCTCTGCCTAACCAAGTGCTTTAGTCCCCTGAGCTATCTGGATGGCCCTACTTTGGTTATTCTTAAGCAGTCTCTTCTTTTTTGGGTTTTGTTTTTTTTTTTCAATTTCTTCTTTTTACATAAGTGTGTTGAACATTTTTTGTATGAGCCATGGAATTGGGAAATAGTTCAGATGGCCAGTGAATGGGCTGCAGAGGGTCTCTTAGTCCCTTAAGGTTTATGAAAATGTGTGGATATTGATGACATTTTAAATTACAATATCCATGAATTTTATTAAACCCTGGAATTTGTTTTGACTAGACTATGCAGTAATAGGCACAGAAAATTGTACTAGAAGGATGAGTTGGAGGAAAACTTAAAAATAAATCATTCTTTAATAGTTAAGCTCAGCACTGTGAGGCTGAGGCAGGAGGATTGTTACGAGTACAAGTTCAAGACCAGCCTGGGCTGCAAAGTGAGCTCAAGTCCATCCTGGTCTGCATAGTGAGACCGTCTCAAAAGCCAAAAATAAAAAGTGAATCTCTTTTGTGTTTTCACAATCTCTACACACATATATATTTATATGTTTTTTTCAGGCTTGCCTTTTTTGAACTCAACTATCAGTTTCATACGACATCTCAACTACAGTCTGAAGTAATAAAACACTATTCAAAACAGGTTTGTCTGAGATTATTTTGCAAAACGACAGAATTATATAGATTAGTCAAATTTTATATATCTGTTTATGCTTGTACAATATAGATTCTTCATGGAAGTAAGTAATTTTCAAATTTTAAAAGCTGAATTTTTTTCTCAGTTGTAGAAACAAACTTGTGCCCAATCCAAATTTCATTTTGTTTTGTCCTTGTATTTTTAGCTCTTATCAGAAAATTTTTCTGGGTCAGTATAGATTTGAAATATAAATCCAGACCTGTGCATGTCTGTAATCTCAGTACTTGGGAGACTGAAAACAGGAGGATCACTATATTCCAGTCTGTGTAGTAAGACCCTGTATACCCTGTACTAAATACATTAAAGAAAAAGAAATATAAATCCATATATAAATTTATATCCATATATGGATTTATATTTCTTTTTCTTTAATTTATGTTTAAAAATGCATTCATTAATCTTATGATACAACTTAAAGAACATCTGAGTTAGTTGTAATCAAATGGACAAATAGTGATCATGAGAAATCTGTATATTGACCCCACTTTTGCCATATACCTTCTGTGTGACACTGAGCATCATCTGACCCAATCTATGTAATGGTGGTGGTGGTGGTGGCAGCAGCAGCAGCAGTAGCAGTAGTAGTAGTAGTAACAACCTTCATAAATAATTGTACAAGTGAAAGCATTTTGTATATTTTTATAAAATATAACATCAGTCTCTTATGGTAATACACTGTTCTTTAAACGGAATATGGTCATGAATATGGTGATCGGGGTTTGATATTGGAGTTAACAGTAAGGATGTTAGCCTAAGAAAACTGGACATGTGTACTAAGCCTATAATAGAATAATAAGTCTATCAGAATTGATTAATGTTCATATTTCATTTTTAGGCCATTAAGCAGATGTATGTACTCATTCTCGGCCTTGATGTTTTGGGAAATCCCTTTGGCTTAATTAGGGAATTTTCAGAAGGTGTAGAGGCATTTTTTTATGAACCTTACCAGGTAAAAAAATTTCCTTGTATTATACATCAAATTTTAGTACTGTTGAATACATAATGTATTTCTATTGTTAACTTGACTTGTGTGTATAAATAAATTTTGGGAGACATACAGAATAATTTCAACAAACAGTAAGATCTGGTGGCACTTTAAAAATAAATTTCTACCTTTTTTCTCAGTATTTAAATTTAATACATTTATGCCGAAGATTAATTTTTCAGTTTTTTTATGAAATTCATGTGTGTTATACAGAAAAATTATATAGATGTTACACAGAAAAATTCAAAAGACAAGAATTTGAAGAGAAAAATATTCCGTATGTTTTGTTGTTATAGACATTCCAAAAATGGAACACTAGGCACAGAAGAATTAAAAAGTCTATAAAATTATATTGAATTTTAACTGTTCTTTGAAATATGAAAAGTAGATAAAATTCAAACTATAAGAGGAAGAAAGATCACTCACCTTGTGTGGGTGATCTTCGTTTGCACAGATATGTGAAACCCTAAAACCATGGAAGCTTGTACTGTGCAGAATCATCTTAATAACCAGTGGGGAAAAGAAAGTGATTGTTACACTGCCCTTCAAAGTTGGCATCAGGACATTCAGTACTCTTCTATTTTCACTTTTTAAAAAAATTTACTAGTATGTATTTGTAGTAATATATAATGATTACATTCATCATGTGGAGTTGGTACACCTGTGTATCTTAATTTTTATGTTTTTCTTCCCCACCACCCATCTCCTAGTCTGAACTATTTGCAAAAGATCTATCTCCTTGTTTTCTATTGTGATGTTACACTCTGGGTTTCTCACATAAGAAAAACGTGTGATGTACCTTACTTAACATTATGATCTTAAGATGCATTCATGTTCCTACAAGTGATTCAGACTTATCCTTCTCCATTAAAGAATAGTACTTTATATATACATATATATATATATATATATATATATATATATACATATCTATCACTTTGTACATGTATAGGGTAAAGAAAAACAGGGGAAAACTAATATTTTGTATGTTTTATTATAAAACATTAGAAACACTTTTAAACTTCCTTTTACTTACCAAAAGTACTTGAAGTGCTTGCTTTCTTTTCATATAACTTATAATACAGAGCAAGTAAGCATCTTTTCTTATAATACAGAGCAAGTAAGTTTGGAACAGCTTCTAACATTTTATCTTTATACTTTGTCATGAAATTATCCCTGAGAACTCATAATGTGAAGATTTTGTGCTGGCATCACTTCCTCTGAGCTATTTTTATTGTTTTCATCACTACCATTTCTTTCATTTACCTTTTATTTGAAAGGTAAATCAATAAATTCACATTTTAAAGTAAATACAACTTTTTAAAATCTATTTTTCATCACTGTAGGGAGCCATCCAGGGTCCTGAAGAGTTTGTGGAGGGAATGGCACTAGGACTGAAGGCCCTTGTTGGGGGAGCTGTGGGTAAGAAATGGAATGCCGAGTTGGTTGGCAGTAGAAAGTAATGATGTGTTTGCTTTTACTAAAGATACTATAATTTCTGTTAGGTGGATTGGCTGGTGCTGCCTCAAAAATCACAGGTGCTATGGCTAAAGGTGTAGCAGCTATCACAATGGATGAAGATTACCAGCAGAAAAGAAGAGAAGCCATGAACAGGCAGCCAACTGGTTTTAGAGAAGGGATCACTCGTGGAGGAAAAGGCTTGGTTTCTGTAAGAAATTTCAGAGTTGTGAACATTATAGAGAACACATTTTAAATCCACATTCTGACCAAATAAACAGACATAACTTTTACTCCTTAAATTATTATTTAGATGTGGTAAGAGTAAAGAGTATAAAACTTATCAGGGCTCTCCAAAACATGTTCTATTTAAATAGAATACTTAGCAAAATATGCTATATCATACTTAAAAAGTCTGTATTTTTTGTTTTATGGTTCTTGTAAGCATCATATGAAAGTAATATAAATTTTTCAATCATGCTTTTCTTCCAGGGTTTTGTAAGTGGCATTACAGGAATTGTTACAAAACCAATCAAAGGCAAGTATAGGAGTTTGGAGTGATATGTTTCACCATTTGGTTCTATTTTCACTTGTGATCCAGTTGCCTAAGAAGTTTTGTTTTGTTTTGTTTTGTTTTCCCCTAGGGGCTCAGAAAGAAGGAGCAGCTGGTTTCTTCAAAGGTGTTGGAAAAGGTTTAGTTGGAGCAGTGGCCAGGCCAACTGGAGGCATCATAGACATGGCCAGTAGTACATTTCAGGGAATAAAAAGGTATATTATCCTTGGTGTGACATGAGTAAAATGCTTCAAGTATGGAAAATGAAATGGATATGGTTTTTTGTTGTTGTTGTTGTTACTGTTGTGGAACCGGGGATTGAACTCAGTCCCTTGCACTTGCCAGGGAAGTGCTTATTCCTCTGAGCCATCTCCCATCTCCCTGGCCCCAGATCTGCTCTTTGGCCTTCAGCACTTAGTTAGGAGCACTGTAGTATGACAGGCTACATAGAACTTCCTCATTCATTTTCATCATTAAAGTTACTGCATCATGTCTTGTCACATTTGTAGTTTGTCATTTATTTCCAGTCCTCCTACTTTCATGGATGGACACATTGAACAAGCATTTTAGTTATCTTCACTGAAATATATTCATATAATGCTATATGTCTTTGTAAATTTAGCAGATGTATTCTTTCATTTCTTTTTTTAATGATCAAGTAAAGCACTTTATATAGCTGGGAGGACAATGAACCAATTTTGCATAAATAATGAGAACTCATTCTTAACTCCCCATACTGTTTTTGCAGACATGTTTCCTTTCTTGAAAAGAGTGGCACTTCATAGTCCTTAGTCCCAGTTCAGCTATTTTTCACCCTTCCCTTATCTTATATTGTTATAAACTCATAGTCATTCCTTGGCTCCTCTTTATGTCTTTATAATAATTTAGAATTAAGCTAGGTGATCAATGTCCTTTTCCTATAATTTCAGTTTTATAAATATGATGGGTTTAATCATAGTCATCAGAAGAGCCAAAAGCCTGTGAAACAAGGATTTCAAAATATATCTAAGTGGACTTCTGCCCAAAGCTGCTTGAGTTACTGTTTATTTAGTAATCCTAAATCATGTTATTCTGTGCCTAGCAACATTGCCTTTATAGACAATGGGAAAATAAAACATTTTTCAAAAATATAAGAAGAAATATTAAAGAGTATGATTATGGAGAAGGAGTTTGAAATCAAAAGGAAAAATGCTATAAAAATCAAAGGTGACAAATAAATTAGTGAATAAGTAATATAAGCTATTTGAAAACATTGGGGCTGGGGATATAGTTCAGTGGCATAATGCCTGACTGGCAAGAGTAAGGTCCTGAGTTAGATTTCCCAGCAACAAAAATTAAAAGGAGGGCTAGGGATATAGCTCTGTGCTCTTAAGTGCCTGCCTGGTATGTGCAAGGACCCAGGTTCGATCCCCAGTACTGCATGCAGTGCCAGCCCTGGAACCCCGGGAGCACATTATTGGTCCCCAAAAGTGGACATGGTGGCACACGCTTGTAATTCAAATGCTAGGGAGGCTGAGACAGGAGGATCACTATGAGTCCAAGGTGCATAGCAAGACCCTGTACCAAATAAATAAAGGATTTTTAAAAACAAAAATAAACATTGAGAATCAAATTAAAATATTAAAGTGCAATTTGAGAAGGAAATAATTGGCATCAAGCATTTAAATGTCATACCATTTGCAAAGAGCATATTTTTATTATTAGATGAAGCAGATTGTAGGGCAGAAATTTTTGGAATACATGATGAACTAATTAAAGAACTAGAAGATGATTGTTTAGAAGTTACATATAGGTCACAAAATAACTGCAATTTTATAAAAGTAAAATTGTAAGAACTTCCCAAGTGCATAATAACGAGAGAATTTTAACATTTCACTGAATTTTAGTAAATTAGAATGACAAAATTAAGTGAATGTATGATTTAAACACATTAAGATATGTACACATCAGTGTTTTTCTATAATACATAGTTATTAGAGACTTTTCTCATTACTTCAGAAACCAGCAGTGACCATAATTTGGCAGGTATCTTATCTTCATAAAGCTTTCAATTTAGTGGGAGAATAACAGACAAAAATATGTAATTGGTAAATACATGATATGGTAAATGATGAAAAATTGTTATTCTATGAAGAAAATCAGGTTAAAGAAGATAAGGAGAACCCAAATAGTGTGAGGAAGTAACTATTATATATAATGGTCAGGGTTTTTCAATGCTGAGATTACATTTCATGATATTCTCTTATAATGCTTTTATTTCTGTGAAATTGATAATGTTGACTCCTGTTGTATGCCTGGTATTAGTCAGTTGAATCTTCTATTTATGTTGACCTTTTCAAACAAATTTTTATTTCATTGATAATATTTTTTGTACTGTTTTGTCTCTAATCTGTTCTACCAGTTTCCAGTCTAGTTCCCTTTTCTTTTCCTTCCTCCTTAAATTGTAGTTATATTACTGATTTTTAATTTTTTTTTTAATTTAGGCATTCAAATATATAAATTTTACTTCTGAGACCTCTCTTTGCTGTATTTCATAGCTTCTGGCATATTTTTTTTTTGGTTTCTTTGTCTCAAAGTAGTGAATATCCCTTGTGATTTCTCCTTTGAACCTTTCATTACAGAAGTTTTTATTTTTTAACTTTTCTAATTTCTTACAGATTTCAATTTTTTCCCATGAAGTCAAATAATACTTTGTGTGTTTTCAGTACTTTTGTATTTATTGAAAAATGTTTTAAAGCCTTTTGTGTTATTTTGGTTTTTTATTTTTTCATTTTTTAAGACATAATCTCACTATGTATTTAGGGTGGCCTTAAAGTCATTATGTAGCCCAGGTGGCCTTGAATTCATGGTGACCCTCCTGCCTCATCCTATGAAATGCTAGGATTACAGATGTGTGCCACTATGCCCAGTTTAAGCCATTTACATACAGTCTACATCATGGAGAATATGTGAGAGAATGTATATTTTGTTGTTGAATATTGTATAGGTATTTGTTAGACCTAGGTAATTTATAGTGTTCAATTCTCTTGCTTCCTTGTTAATCTTTTCTATTTGTTACTCACTGACATAAGGGTATCAAAATTTTGAACCTATTGAATTGTCTTTTGTCATTTTTTGCTTTATGTATATGGGAGTTGTCTTGTGAAATGCCTGTATGTGTGTAATTTTTATATTTTTCTTGATATGACCCTTTTCTCACTATAAAATACCTTCTTCATGCAAAGTGAGAATTACTTATTTAAATATTTTTGTTTATTTTGTTTTAATATTAGTATCATTCCAGTTCTCTCTTTTTAATTACTTTAAATGATTTATCTTTTCCTATCGTTATTCTCTCCTGTTTGTATCTTTGCTAAAGTTAAATCTCTTGTGGTCAACATACAATCGAGTCATTTTTGTTGGACTTTTGTTTTTTCTATTCCGCTTTTAATTGGAGAATTTATGCCTCTATATGGACCTATGACCATACAAGTAAAAATGATAAAATAGTACTATGCCACATCCATCCATGTGTGAATGTGTTTAATATAGCATACATCAAGCCAAAATAGGAATATGAGAGTATTTGAACCCTGGAAAACCATGTCATATGATTCCTAACATTAAATGAATTGAGTAACATCAAGCATATGATTACAACAATGACTAGAAAAAAATCTTAAAATTCATTGCCTATTCATGGTATTTAAAAATACCAATAATAAAAAAATGGTGAACTCTAATCACAGTAAAAGCAGACATGAACTTCCATGGCTTGACAAGGATATCTTTAAAAAAAAAAAAAAAGCTTGCTAAGAACTTTCCTTATAATGCCAGGAATAAGGATGCCAGCAATCCTCTCTTATATCTAGAATAGTACTAGAGAAACTAGACAACAGAAAAGGAAAACAAAGATGTCAAATTGACAAAAGTTAGCACTATTATTTTTTGATTCTTTGTTTGCACATAGAAAAATAATCCAGGCGAATCTATTAATAAAGTTCTTAAAAGTTTTATGTTTTTCTAGAGAATTTAATATCATAACAGCAAGTTTAAAAATAGAAGAGTGATGTAGTATTCTTAATTTTATCTAAAAGATGGTTCTTGTTAATAGTTGCTTTTATAAGTTTGAATAAAGTTTTAAGTCACATTATATTTTTTTCCCCTAGAGCTACAGAGACTTATGAAGTGGAGAGTCTACGACCACCTCGGTTCTTTAATGAAGATGGAGTAATCAGGCCTTACAGGTTGAGGGATGGTACTGGAAATCAAATGCTACAGGTGAGTAAGAGTCATAAATTAAAATTACTCAAGTTAGGTTTTTTTAAGTAGATATTTAAATAATGCTCTAAATATATTAGCTTGTTTGGACTTTGTTTTGCTTAGTTCATTTATAAGTTTCTCTTATTAGTCTTTGAAGTATATTTATTTACTATAAGATTTTTTTTTCTTTTTTACAGGCATCAAAAAGTTTGATATGAAAACACTTAATGCATGACTTTGCAAGTAAATGCCAGCAGTAGATTTCAGTCTTAAAATTTTCACAAACTACATATACCTGTCTATTTTGACTATTTTTAAAATTTTATATTGTTAATTTTTAATAGAAATTTTAGTTTACCTGATCTTTCTACAGATTACTTTTAGTTCTGTGCTTGATTTGCTAGTTTTGTTGAAAGCCAGAGTGCCTTATGTATCCTTCTAGTTGATGGTATTTAACCAGATAAACTAGTTTTGTTTGGGGTTCTTCCTTCTGTTTATCAAACGACTAGTTTTTGTATCACGTATAATCCTTCCTTCCAGATAAATGTGACAAAGGGAAAAAAAAAAAAAAAAAACACCTCAGGACCAGTTTACAGATAATTCATGAGTTCTTATGCTTTGCTTTTTGTTCATTTAATTTTTTTTTTTTTTTTTTTCGGTACCGGGGATTGAACTCAGGACCCTGCGCTTGCCAGGCAAGCACTTATTCTACTGAGCTATCTCCCCAGCCCTATGCTTTGCTTTTTAACATGCTTAATGGCCATGAGTTTCCCATTTGTTCTAATGTACTATATGTTAAAACTTCATGAGATTGGATACCCAGTTTACGTGCAACTCAGTTATCTTTCACTAGGGTTAGCTTTTAGAAAAGTAGACACTTTGAAGGTAAAATCTTTTATTTATACAGGCAGTTTTTTTAATAAATTGCACTTTTAAAAATCTGGCTTTTGATGTCAATAACAATAGTCGTATCTACAAGGCCATGCCAGGATAAAGTTGCTTCTGTAGTGTACGGGGATCATGCACTACATGAAGCCTTTTGTTTGAATAAAATAAGGACTATGTTGTATAGACTTGCAAACAGTAATACATTGCCACATACAGAAATTTATTTATGCCCTTGATATTTTAAATATTATGTTTAAAATAAGCAGGATAAGGGTTTAAAACTTCACTATTTCACTGAGTGCATACAGAACATGTAATAGTATATCTGACTGGTCCTTCTGTCAATATAATGTAATCATAGAACAGTATTAGGTAAAGTGACTTGAAAGTGATTTTAAAGCATCAAAATACTTGCATACTGGAAAGCAATTAGCATTCTGTTGAAAAATTGTACTTTAAGAGACATCATCAAGACAATCTATACGGTGACAGTATATCTTTCTTCGAAGACAGGAAAGTTGCAGAAGTCATCTCTGGATAATATAATTGAAAAATCTGATCCAATCCCTGCCTTCCCTTGTTAGAGCAGTTAATGTGTTGCTTATCTTTTACTGATTAAAATCTGAATGATCTCCAAATCCCTTTTTAAAAACTAAAAATATATCTTCAGAAACTTTTAATAAATTTATTAGGTTAGGAACTGTAGTGAGAATTTTGAAATATGCATTGCATATAGAATTTATAGAAAAATATGAGTTACCAGAAACTTCTTATGGTTGATGTCTTATTGCAGTAGCAAATAAATTTTTTCTGCAGCTGTTTTCTGAAGCTTTAAACTTTGGGACACACAAACCTCTCTATTTTTAAAGAATCATATTTTTAGTAGGACAGGTTTCATTAAAAGAGTGGTTTCAGTGGCTAAAAATCTCATCTTTGTCACCTGTTACTACAAGTTAATTATTATTTTAGTGACAAGGTTCTTTTAAGTCAAAACTCAGTTGCATTGTTAGCAAATGTGTTAAACCATATGAATACCAGTACTTTGAAAAATAATTAGATGGCATATAAACTGGATTTAAAGTCTCACCTAAGGGATTTAATGATGGTGTCTTAGGAAATGTTTGTTTTCAACTGTTTCTCCTCTTATTTTTCATTTCCTTAAAAAGAGTCTGTGTCGACTAAGTTATATATGTTCATATGTAATAATTGAATATAACATACATTCCTTCATTGTGTAATATCCTGTCCAGGAAGGAGCACATTATAATAATGCTCCCTGGTAGTCAAAGTTGCCTACCAGAAAATGAACATTTTATATACTACGTGTGTATAAACCAGTTAAGGTTAGCTTTAGGGTTGTTAAGTTATAAAATACTATATTCATAATTATAGCCTGAGATACAGCTAGTAGCTTCCTCAGACATTTCATAAATTTATGTTTTTCAAGCAATCTTCCATGCATTACTAACCTTTACACTTCTCTTTCCCTTTGCCATGCTTACAGAAAACTCAGGTCTACAGGGAATGGATTATGACTCATAATAACAGTAGTGATGATGGTGATGGTGATGATGAGGATGATTAGTCAGATCTAATCTATTAAAATGCACATATTCTTTACCATTTTACTCAGAATGTTTCATTAACATATTGTGAATGACTGTATAAAGGCTGTATGTCTATTTAGGGAGGTAAAACACTTTGTTCTTTTAAAATGTTTTTCTGAACATCATGTAAAGCAAAATAATTTCATTACTTAAACATAGGGGGAAAAAATGTATTTTATATCCAAAGTAGGGCATGCTATATATTATAGATTTGCTTTCATGTATTTCATAACTTTGTATTATAGCTTGTCTTTAAGATTTTATAGTTACACTTCATTATGCTTTTAATGCTCAACAGTTTTACTTTAAATTATCTGCTTATTACCATAATGCCATTTTTAAATTCTGTGCATTTCTGGGCTTAATACGATGCTGTTGTGTAACAAAAGAGAATAGTAATAGCCATTCAGTGTACTATGTTTATCTAGCATTTTAAAGATATTTTTGTCAACCTTCTGTTAATAATAAACTCACATAACTTGAATTAGTGTGAATTTGTTATTCTATTTCAGAGTCATGTGTTGGAGTACTGTACTGTTATAAAAACATTCATGATTTGTCATGGACGATTAGATAGTGAAATAATTTCTAGTCTAAGGGAAAAATTGCTTTTACTTTGATTCATGTTTTATATTTTTGTGAAATAAATAATGAACAAAAGTGAGATTTAATCATCTTTGTCAATTTATGTATTCATATGCACTGTCCTATTATATATGGTTATAAATTAATTCAGGACATTAGAGTGTTTATAATAGATATAATTATGTATGTTATCTATGTCTCTAAAAGACTCATAAGAAAATCTGTTTCATGTTTTCTGGACTTTTAAAAAATTTTAACTTCAATCTAATTGTCTTGTTTCTCTAGCACACCAGATGTATTAAAAAAGAAATCAAAGCCAAAAGATCTTCTAGAAAGAAAGATTATCAATAATTACAATGCTTAATTCCTATGATTGTTATGCTTATGGATCAACAACAGATTATTTACCTTGGCTCATATTAAACTCTTTTTTTATATTGTATTAAGTTTTTATTAGGTTATGGAAAATTGACTTAACTTTTGATTTGATTGAACTCATGATTTCTGAATTTTTAAATTTTTATCTAACTTTTATGTCTATGAATCTTTGTTCTTTATGTTGTTTGAAAATGACTACTGTAACTTCTAAAAACTGAGTTTACCAAAGACAGAAATACAAGCGCTAAAGTAACTTTTTTGAAATTTCTGCCTACATAGCATTCATTCAAATTAAAGTGAATTAAGGGAATATTTAATGTGTTAGTACTAAGAAATATGGAAATGTTACAGAATCTAATTATATCACAATACTGTTTTTTGAATTAAATTAAAAAAAAAACAGTGACCATTACCATAGTCACTGCTGGAAACAGAATTGCTGTTTGTCATGCATCTGCTGCTCTCTTACCCTGTAGTTGGTCAAAATTAGTCCTTCTCTAAAAACTACTTCTAGAAGCTAGAAAGCACACAGCCAGTTGTTGTAAATTGTGTGGGCTTAAGAAAGAAACAGCCTTGAAGTGTCTTCATTGGTTTCTTACATTCTAGCTTTGCTAGACACAGAGTCCTTGTAAAAGAAAATGTTAATTTTCAGAACATTTGCTGAGTTACTCTATGATTAACTCTGAATATAACAATAGTATGCAATGTAAAAACCATTGTCTATTTCCTATCTTGTTTTGAAATTCTGTATCATTTTTTTTTATTCTCCTTAAAATAAAAACAAATTGCAGACAAAAAATAATTTATCTAGAAAAGATTTTTTTGTTCTTTTCAGCAGTGACTGGGCATTCTAATGAAAAGAAATTGGAAGTAAGATTGTATTTATTTAAAATATCTTCATCAGTAAAGTGACAGTAATGCTATAACTGATAAACTTCATTGATGTGGTTTAGAATTTCATCTTTTTTTCACTTGCTCTTAGTAAATATTTTCTCTGACAACATAATTGCCCTTTTCTGTGTGTTTTCCTGCTATAGTCAAACTTTTTTTTTTTTTTTTTTTTTTTTTTTATGGAAGGGTCTACAGGGTGTTCAGGGTCTCACTCTTAGATCGGACTCATAGTGATTCTCCTGTTTACAGCCTTCCAAGAGATGGGATTACAGGCCTGCACCACCACACCCAGTCTCAATTGCTGTCAAAGTGTGCCCCGGGGGTGCCAGCCAAGGGATCGAACCCATGGCCCCTCTGCCTGCTTGCAGGCACTTTAAATCCACTGAGCTGTTTGGCCAACCCACAGTCAAATATTATTTTGACGTTCCATTGACCCCAAGTATTAATTTTCCAAATTTATAAACTACTTTGTTGTTTTTATTACAGAAAAATTTAACAGTGAAAACTTATGTTTTAAAACATGGTTTTCTTGATGAAGATACAGGACTGCACAAAAATACTTGTTCTTCGAATATGTAAAAAGTTCATCTTTGAAGTTCTAATGAAATCGACTAGTTTTTTCTACATTAATGGATGCATAAGTGGTTACTATCTAATAATAGTCTAATG